GGAAAAAGACTTCCTATGAGACGTGTTTCACACAGTACTGCATGTCTTTTGGGGAGGTGCAGCGCTGTCGTTTTGTTTAGAAGAGAAAGCCTACTCACGTAGTCTTTTGCGTTCGAAAGCGATCGTACGCAATCTATAGCGATCGGGCCCCGCAATTAGTAATAATTCCTGATTTCCGCAATGTTTTTCATGTAACAGGTTTAGCAGGTAAACCCTAAACCCTAAACCCTAAACCCTAAACCCTAAACCCTAAACCCTAAACCCTAAACCCTAAACCCTAAACCCTAACCCCCCCCCCCCTCCTCCCCGGTGAAGGTCGAAGTGGCCCCCGGCCACTGGAAGCGCCTGGGCGGCCGCGCGGCGGCTTTGCTCCAGGGCGCCAGGGCGAGCACCGAAGGGATCGAGGCTTCGGGGTTTAGGGGGTCTCGGAAATTCGGGGTTTAGGGTTTTAGGGGGTGGGGTTTAGGGTTTAGGGCTAGGGTTTTGGGGTTTAGGGGTGAGGGGTTTAGAGTTTATGGGGTTAGGGGTTTAGGGTTTAATTTAGGGTCTCAGGTTTAGTATTTAGGGTTTCGGGTTTGGGGTTTGGGGGTTTAGGGGGTTTAGGGTTGAATTGGGGCTTAGGGTTCTAACTTCAGGGTTCCAGGGCTGCGGGGGTTTCAGGCCTGAGGATTGCAAGGTTTCGGGGTTTGGGGCTCGTAAGTTTGATGCCGGGGGGTGGGAGAGCGGGAGAGGGCCCCACAGCCCTAGGGTTTAGGGTTTAGGGTTTAGGGTTTAGGGTTTAGGGTTTAGGGTTTAGGGTTAGGGTTTAGGGTTTAGGGTTTAGGGTTTAGGGTTTAGGGTTTAGGGTTTAGGGTTTAGGGTTTAGGGTTTAGGGTTTAGGGTTTAGGGTTTAGGGTTTAGGGTTTAGGGTTTAGGGTTTAGGGCAGCAAAAAGCTAAGGCGGCAGAGAAGATGACTCGTACTCCGACTTCTCCCAGTCCTCCACACAAGCGGGGCTGGAGCTCTACAAGCTGAATGGCCAGGCCTCATGCTTGAAGGTTTATAGGGGGTTTAGAGTTTAGTGTTTATGGTTTAGGGTTTAGGGACTGCCAGGATCCGGATTAGCAGTTCAGGGCTTCTGGGGTGTATGACGCTGTCATGTGCAAGTCACGCACGCCAGCTTATTGCGCCCGACGGGCTTCAACTGTGTTTGACGATGGTTCCATTGCATACTGAGTGTTTCTAACGCACCACGATGCTTGGGCTTTTGGCGTCTAAGTCCCAAATCCTTAAATCCCGGGACCCTCATCCTTACCATTAAAACCCTCCCAGCCCTTCAGCGAATTTTTGGACAAATCCTGGGCCCGGAGTGAGGTGGGAGTCGCCAAGCGTGAAGGGTTAAGGGATTGGGCTTAGGGTTTGGGGTTTAGGGTTTAGGGTTTAGGGCTTATAGGGTTTAGAATTTGAGGTTTAGGGTTTTGGGATGGTGCAGAGGAAAAAAATCTCAGGCTTGAAGATGTTAGAGTTGAGGGCGTAGGATTGGGATGGATTCAGGGTTCAGGGTTTAGGGTTAGGGCTTAGGGTTTCGGGTTTAGGGCTTAGGGTTTTAGGGTTTTAGGGTTTAGGGTTTCAGGGTTTAGCGTTCAGGATTTAGGGTTTAGGGCCCATGAGCTCTGCCGTTGCTTTGCCAGGCTTGGACGCGCACCAGCGTCGCATCGGGGAGCGTGCAGTCCTTGAGGCAGCGAAGGAGAGCTTCGGCCTGGGTTTTGGGTTGAGGGTTGAGGGTTGAGGGTTGAGGGTTTAGGGTTTAGGGTTTAGGGTTAAGTTTTTGGTTTTTGGGTTTGGTCCGCTGTGGTTTTTTTTCCAACGTTGGCCCTGGCTTGTTTTCCTTGGGTAACGTTGGCCCCAGGTCTCCTGGTCCTCTGGTCTTCTGGTCGTGTGCTCTGGCCCTTTGGTCCTTGGTGCGCTGGCCCTCTGGTACCTTGGTCCTCTGGTCCCGTGGTCCTCTGGTCCTCCGGCGGACCGTGTCACTGCAGAGATCTGCTTAGGGGACCATAACACAGAGACACATGGTGCGGGCAAAACTTGGACCAATGGGCTAGGCAGGCAGTCGTGCTGTAAGCTGAGCCAAAGCCCAAAACTCTAGGCCTGCCTAAACCTTGAGTCCCAAACCCCAAACTTTGTTGGTGCACGACCCCAGACAAAACCTGCAATCCCGCGTCTGACGATATTTTGCGAGGCATTTCTCGCAGTGACAGGAAACCAAGGGGAAGTCTGCAGCCCACGCCTGTAAAGATTGCACCAGGGCAGCCGTCGCTGTTTGAAACCCGACAGGCGGTCGAGAATGCGCGGAAAAGATTCAAAGGGTCGCACCTGAAACCTAGACAGCATTCCAGGCCCTGGCGGTAGTATCCTGATATCTACGCCCCAAACCCAAAAACATCAAAATGAAGTCATAAGACCACCTAGAATAATACACAGCCAAAAACAAGAACATACGACAATATCAAATCACATACCATAAAATACCACAATGTACAATAAAATACTGACAATAACTCACAAAAATATTCAAAAATATTCAAAAATATTCAAAATGTTCAACAATATACTTCAATATACAAAAGATTTGACTACCTGACAAGAAAATTCGAATACTTTACAATAATACACCATAATGTACAATCATCCACAGTAAATATGAATAGGCAACCATATACAATTCATTTACAATAATATACAACAGTATACAATCAGACATTATTCAATCATATACAGGAATATACCCAAATGCTGTATTCAATACAGCATTTGGAGCTTTGGAATATGCAGAAACACTGAGTGTTGCAAGCGTTTGGGTCTTGCAAGCAGACACACAAATGCTGCATTCATAGCATTTAAAGCCACGAATTGCAGGGCCAACGTTAGGAGAAAAAAGCACCTCCACCGTTTGGGAGTAGGGTTTGGAGTTTAGGTTTTGGGGTTCAGGGTTTACGCAAGGTTCCATAAGGTGCCTGATTCAGATATGCCCTCAATGCCTTAGCTGGAAACTTCCCCGAGCCCCAAGTTCTAGGTAAACGATGTAAATGATGGGTCATCTTTCTTTGCGGGGTCTTTGGAGTCTATGTTCCTGGTACAAAAGGGGACATGACATTCAATTCTTCCACCCCCCGCATGGTAAAGCAAACCTTTGGCTTTGTAAGCCCTAAGCCCTGAGCTTTCCTATCAGCCCTCTAAACGGTCAGACATTCACACAGAAAGGACTGTTGTGAGGCGGAGTTGTTGGGTAGTTTTCAGTCATTTAATAAGGTTTAGGGGTTAGTAAACGCTTACAACTTTAAACTTATGGCCTCACAACAGTCCATTCGTAAGTGGGGATCTTGACCATGATGTTTGGCACACTGAGATGATGTTTTCAAAGAGTGACATGTTCATGAGTTTGGAGGGGGGGGGGGTCCTTGGAAGTTGGGCTCCCCCCCCTCCCCCCTCCACCCCCCCCTCCCCCCCTCCCCCCCCCTTCCTCCCCCCCTCCCCCTCCCCCCCCCCCCCCTCCCCCCACCCCCCCCCCCCCCCCCCCCCCCCCCACTTTCGAGGTTGTGTCTCAAGCGTAGCAGCCGTCGCTGTGCCACAGTTGGTTTGCTTTCACGTATTTCCAGACCTGTTATTCGGAAGTTCCCTGCTTTCGAAACACAGCCTTTGTTTCGAAACACAGCCCCTGTTTCGAAACATGGATGTCACAGCCACAACTGCTTCATATCTACCACAACCTCACACAATGCCTCGTTTCCATGCAATGCCAATGACCCTCCCCCTGTCACAGCCACAACTGGTTCAAAACGATATCAATGCAAGGCCATGTCTTCTCGGCCGCTTGCTGTCCAGGGCTTCGCACCTTGGTTCCATCGACTACATCTACGTCATCCTCACACAATGCCTCCTTTCCATGCGATGCCAAGGAAGACATACAGGATCACAGCGGGAAAGAGATCTACGTGATCACATCATGGCTCAAATCCGCAGTGGCACCATTACACCTCATCCCTCCAGGATGCCTTTGAGCGCTCGGACGTTGGCGTCACAAATAGCGCACGCGCAAGTCAAGACATACCTCCAGCCCACGGGTGTGTATGGGGCGTGGACCCAGAGGCCGAGAAAAAGTTGATTGTCATGCTCACGCGGTCTTTACGGTCCCAAAAGCCCCAGGCTATCGAGGATAAGAAGCCCGACCGAAAGCCCCAGGCCATCGAGGATCTGAAGGACCAGAATGAGGCGAAGCACCATGCCCCAGCTATCAAGAATGGCGCGCCAACCGTCGTAGACAGCACCCCATCCGCCTACGAGAAGGACCATAACATCCCGGACAAGAAGGCCAACATCGCTTTGGACAACAAGTCCTCGGATGACTCCTCGGATTCTTCTTCTGATGACCACAACATCCCGAACAAAAAGGCCAACATCACTCTGGACAAGAAGTTTTCGGATGACTCCTCGGATTCTTCTTCTGATTCCTCTTCGGATTCCTCGCCCTGTTCGCCATCAAAGTCGTCACCGCCCCTGCCCAAGCGTACCTTCGAGGAGATCAACAAATGGGAAGCAGAGTGGACGGACGTGTGGACGCGGTTGGGCCTCGTGGGTTTGGCTGACAACTGCCCGAGTCAGAAGCGCGTCAAAGTGGCAACTGAGCTACTGAATGCCATCAACAAGGCACGCTCAAAATAGGGGGGCGCCATTTAGTGGGTGGCAGGTCAGTTTCTTCCTTAGTCGGTACCCACTTGGAGTTTGGGTCTGTAAAGACGACGAAAGAGCAATAGGTTGCAAGCAAGAAAGAAAGTCGCCAGCTATTGCCTTGCACGCTGTTGGAGTGTACAAGCCTTCATATCTGCTCTTCACGCAAACCCCACATAAACCACACGCGCATCTGCAACAGCACATTTGTCTATGCCGATTCAGTGTTTTCTCAAGTCTTCGTACCATTAGGTTGCGTACCGGCTCTGTTTACTTCGATCGCGTAGCGCGTGTAGCATGGAGGACTGCATGGCGGCTTCTCAAGGAACATTCGTCAAATTCTGTCCGGCTCCCGTCTACTCCAAGATCGAAACCGGCGCCTACAGCATCTCCGATCTGCCACTCATGGAGTTGCACGGCAAGGGCAAAAAGTTCAAGGAATTCTTCCAAGCAGTGCATGACGTCACCCCTGCCCAGCAGCAACAAATCCGCGAGGTCATGAACTCAGAGAATCCTCGCCTCGTGGACTTGCCTGCTAATGTACGCCCTGGTGATGCGGTGAGGCCTGCCATTTGCAGCTCGTCATTGATTCTTCCGCTAACAAGGTTCTGAAGTTCTACCACGCGTCGGTGCCCATAGCTTGGGGCGTTGTGCGGGTTTTCTGCAATGACCAGCCCATGATCATCAATTACAAGATCGCTACCAACTCCGATCGGGTGAAGTGTGCTTTCCTCCACATGTTGGCAAACATTCCTGGCGAGCAGTGGCTAGCTCAGTCCTTGGGCCAAAAGGTCTCTACCAAAGCCGTGAAGTGCAGTGACAAGGATGGTTCTTCATGGGACCCATCGCCAGAGGAACTGCGACTTGGCATCACCTTCATCAACGAGCATGCCCCGCTCGCTAACGGACACAATGAACAATTCCTCTGGGGGCTACTGAGCGTGCGAGACAATGAGACTCCAATCTTCGGATGGCCCATGCACGTGGTCAGCCGAGCTTGGCAGAACCGAAGCGTCGGGAACTCCCAAGCTGAGCCGGAGCACTTCTTCCCACTACTTCTTCACGACATCAATGAAACCATCGTGCAAAAGATCCTTCCACTGGTTGTCCCTTCTATGACAATGCACGGGCTACTGCTTCTTGGTCAAGCAGGGATAGGAAAACTCCCTTGGGCATCATCCTATAGCTCTTGCCCGCCACTACGTGAACACTCGTGGACCTAAAGGTGCTGTTGTCGGCTGGCGCCGATCAAAGCAGATAGACGGCTTCCGCGAGCGGCCAGGCGAGCTTCATGTTCCGGTTCTCCTCGATGATCCTGTGCCCAGCCGCATGAACTTTGAGGACCTCAAGTCATTCCTCGACGTGGGGGAAACATGCTTGGTCGACGCGAGGTACAGGGCTGCAAAGTTCGTCAGGAACCAGACCCGAATCCTCTTGAACAACGAGTGGAACCCTGAGGCTGAACCTGATCTGCAGTTTCACTCTCAAATTGGATGGGCCGACTTCAAGAAGATGATCTCCACAACTTTCAACGACGCCTCCATGCCTCACTTGATGGCCATCCTGAAAAGGGCCACAGTCATCCTCGCAGGGAGCAAGGCGGTGTACGTGCACCTCGCCTCGGAACACCAATCGGAGATCATCCATCGGTTTGAAGGGGGTGGAGTCACAGAGGATTGGCTGTCAACCAAGCACAAGGCCTTCTTCGGCTACTACAAAGACGGTCAGTATGAAAAGTACAAAGGCTTTGAGGCAGCCTTAGGAGCCGAGGCCACATTCATCGGCGACTTGCTGGCGTCCCCAGAGGAGAAGGAGTACATGAAAAGAGGCGCTACCTACGACTCGTGGGCTGTCGAGTACGGGTCGTCTCAGGACATCCAGGTGCCGAACCTCGCCACACCTCGCTCCCGTCCTACACCGTCTGCTGTCAGCCCGCTCATCACATCGCCACCTACCAAGCTGCACAAGAAGGAGAACGTCACAAACGAGGATGCCACCATGTCGCAGGAACTCAACCGTCTTGTTGACGAACTTGACGGTGATGAAGAGGCCGCCAGGGAGCTGCGCTCGGACTCCTGAGCATACGTGTAGGCTATGAATGTCGTCAGTTCCGAAATTTTGAACTCCATCACCAACACTGATTCGAAAGTCCTGAGCGTATGAGTAGGCTATGAATGTCGTCAGTTCCGAGATTTTGATCTCTCTCACCAACACTGATTCGAAACAAGGCCGGCGTTGCGAAACAAGTTCATGGCTTACTGTGTCTCTCAGTATGTTTCCAGCGCATTACAAAACTATGCAAATGAAGTCTTCCACTGTGTGTGTCTGGCAGTCAGTTTTGTAGTTTTGCTTCAGAAGCTAGACTTCTGCTGTTCTTCTGCCATGGCCCAGAACCAGCTGACTACACCTTTCCTCGTAATGTTTGTCCGGTATGTGAGAAGCATACGCTCCACTCCTCACAGGCGCAAGCATGCCAGGCAATCCTCATTGGTTCCGAAAACATAGAGGAGGTGGCCACACATCGAACACGATGCTGGTCGTGCAATTGTACCATGCGGCACAACATCCTCATTCTTGGCAAGGAGAATGTGAACTGTATGACTTTCAAGGAACTTGAGAAGTCAGGAGCTATCTTCGTTACGGCCAAAACTGGGTTCTCCATGAAGTACCTTCGCCTGACTTACCTTAGGCTGATGAGGGCAAAAGTTGCGCCGGGACAGGAAGCTGCCGTCCCTGGTATCTTCCATGATGGTGATGACCGCATGTTCTGGCGTGATGCCACCACTCGGGACCATTTACTGCATGCCTTAGAAGCATGGGTGATTGCCAAGTCCGATCCCACGAAGGTCATGCAGTTCAACTACAGCTACCCCGCCAAGCACATGGGCCTCTTGCGCAAAGACCTTGTCTTCCATCCTCTCAAGAACGTCACTGCCCTCGCCTTCGACGGTCACTTCGGCATCCACCGAATACTGTGCCCAGAGTCGGAGCCTGCTCGTACAGTCAAGAAGAAGGGCCACCCACGTAAACTCCTCCAGGAACACGAGCGCTCCTGTTCCTGCAAGTCGAAAGTCATCGAGAGGCTGGCGCTGCCGCAGAGGACAGCGGGATGGCAATTCGTCCTTGATCCCGAGAGTCGCCGTATCATTGCAGCAGGTGAGCACATCCAAAACGAGCTGCACGAAGATAAGGTGCGACTGCTCGCGAAGGTTCTGGCACTCCCGGGAATGAAGGTCGATTTGCTCCTGCATGACGACGCATGCCACTTTGAACAGCACGTGAAGAACAACTATCCCGATGTCTTCAGCGACATCAAGTACTACGTGGTGGACGCCTTTCATGCTCCAAATCATAAATGTTCCAAACGTTACTGGACTGGAGCTGTCAAGAGACGCTGCCAGAACGTACGCACAAACATCCCAGAAATTTTCAATGCTTGGATCCGTAGCCTGAACTTCTTCTTCAGTTCGTTCATTCCTCATTCGCACAAGTTTTGGGTAGCAGAGGCTTGCAGGTTCTACAATGAGAACCTCAAGGATGTAGCCGTCCACATTGGCCGCCGCACGAATGTTGTTGCGCGCCAACAGAGGCAAGGCCCACAAGAAACCAGCTGCTGTCGCAATAAGAAGCCGTCTGCAGCATGCTGTTCCAAGGCCCAGAAGAAGCCAGCTGCTGCTCGCAAGAAGCCGTCTGCAGCACGTCGTCAGTAATCCGTACATCTGCTTTGCACTCGCAACAAAATGAACTTCGTCCAAACCACTGCATCACATTGAAAAAACTCCGCCTCACAACAGTCCCCTCTCAAACCCTAAACCCTAAACCCTAAACCCTGAACTCTGAACCCTGAACCCTGAACCCTGAACCCTGAACCCTGAACCCTGAACCCTGAACCCTGAACCCTGAACCCTGAACCCTAAACCCTAAACCCTAAACCCTAAACCCTATACCCTATACCCTAAACCCTAAACCCTAAACCCTAAACCCTAAACCCTAAACCCTAAACCCTAAACCCAGACCCTAAACCCTAAACACCCTGACCAGCCCAGGCTGCTGGATGGTCGGCAGCGTCTCGGGCGACTGGATCAACTGCCCGGCCGCCGTGGCGACGCAGCTGGGAGACCTCAGCACCTTGGATGGGGCTCGGTTTAGGGTTTAGGGTTTAGGGTTTAGGGTTTAGGGTTTAGGGTTTAGGGTTTAGGGTTTAGGGTTTAGGGTTTAGGAGCACTAACCCTACTATTTGCTAAAGAACCCCCCAAAAAGCTTAAAGATCATAATCCCTATATTAGTGAAGGAAAAAAAGAGATTCGCAAAAAGCCCTGATAATCGTGTAACCGAGTAATTCATACGAGTGCCAAGAAAAGTTCTGCAAAGGGCGCTCAATAAAGTGCGAAATCCTACATTGTCCTACATCCAAGATTCGAATGAAAAATGGGTGCACGTAAAAACCGCCCCCCAAGAGGCCCGTATTAATGTGGTGTGGTCTCGAAACTGTAAGGTCCTATATGCCCAAACCCTCAGACCGTAAAAAGCCACAACCCTACAAGTCCAACACTCCAGGCACTCAAAGTTCTGTAACCCTAAACCCTAAACCCTAAACCCTAAACCCTAAACCCTAAACCCTAAACCCTAAACCCTAAACCCTAAACCCTAAACCCTAAACCCTAAACCCTAAACAAACCAAAAGGCCCTCATGTGCCTGGACACTGGAAGCTTGGTTTCAAACACGTCGCAAGGCCCTGAGGCGAGCTGCGGAGCAAGAAAGCGTATCCCAACCAGAGTGTAGGGTTCAGGGTTCAGGGTTCAGGGTTCAGGGTTTAGGGTTCAGGGTTTAGGGTTTAGGGTTTAGGGTTTAGCGTTTAGCGTTTAGGGTTTAGGGTTTAGGGTTTTAGGTAACCCGACACCTTGCTAAGCATGAGGGCCTATATTCCACCCCTGCAGTTCGGACATCACCACACCCTTCGCCCCATCTGTCTAGACAAAGCGGTTTAGGGCTTAGGGTTTAGGGCTTAGGGTTTAGGGTTTAGGGTTGTACACATGTCCACCTCAACTCTAACGCCCTTAAGGGTTTCAGGGGCTTAAAGGTTTTTGAGCGCATGAGGGCCTCAGGGTTTTAAGGAGCCCTATAAGCCCTAGACCCCAAACCCTACACCCTCAACCCTACACCCTAAACCCCACACCCTACACCCTACACCCTACACCCTACACCCTACACCCTACACCCTACACCCTACACCCTAAACCCTACACTGCACCCCGAGGCACGGGATCCGGCAGCCAGCTTGAGCTCGGCTTTTGCAAGTCGGTCCCGTGGCTTCTTACAAGGGGGTTTAGGGGTTTAGGGTTTCGGGTTTAGGGTTAAGGGTTTAGGGTTTACATTTAGGGTTCAGGGCTTTGGGTTTAGGCGGAGCAATCATGGGCCATGTAGGAATTGGGTACCCTAAACCCAAGCGGGGGGAGGTGGCAGGGCAAAACAGCCTGCAAAAATCAGGGGCCATGTTGTAATGGGGTCACCACCCGAAGCCCTAAGAAACAGCTCTAATTCAACAGGATGAACGCACACATACTCCGCATGCAGATGCGAGCTCGTCGCCTCGTCGCCAGCACATCATGAGGTTTGGGGTTGCGGTTTTGGGTAGTCGGGGTTCGGGGCTTAGGAATCTCAAGTACAGGAGCAGCGTATGATTCAGGGTCCTAGGGTCTTGAGGATTTGAATCCGGCTCACGAAATTTCTGGGACATAGAGAGCCCTTCATAGGCAGATCTTTTGGCGCCAAATTCACTATTCACCTTGAAACTGGGATCACGTACCCTACGCTACTATAAGGGTTTCAGGTGCAAGGGCCAAACATCTCTTTGAAGTTTATTCAGTCCGGCAAAAGACACCGCGTAGATGGCTCCCTGTGCGTTCGCAGTTGCATTGTTTTGGAATTCACGGTATGGATGAACCCCAAGGCTCTCTAACTCCCCCATGCGGTTTAGGGTTGAGGGTTTTAGGGTTTTAGGGGTTTAGGGTTTAGGGTTTTGGGGTCTAGGGTCCCCCCCCCCCCCCCCCCCCCGCTTTACAATCCATGCAGGTGAAAGGCTGGATGCACGATGGCGGCCGTGGTCAGCTGCTTGCAACCAGGGCCCAAGCATCTTGGCTGTGGTATTAACTTGGGATACCCAAAACCCTCAACCCCAAGAACCCCAAACTCCGCGACACTGCTGTTCCCCTAAACCCTAAACCTTCAACCCCTAAACCCACAAACCCTGCAAACACCAAGGTTAAACATCTGGCGCTCTAGGAGAACCAGCCAGCAAGAAACCTCTAACCCTTCAACAAGAAAGCCAGGAGCTCCAAACCCAGGCTCCCTAAGCCATAAACCCTGGAGCCTAAACCCACTGCTCCCCAAACCCTAAGCCCTTGAACCGCAAACCCTAAGCCCCCAGCCCCCCCTAAGAACCCTAAAACCCTAAACCACAAGCCCCCTGAACCCTGAACCCTGAACCCGAAACCTTGAAACCCCTAAGCCCTAAACCCTAAACCCTAAACCCTAAACCCTAAACCCTAAACCCTAAACCCTAAACCCAAATCTCCAACCCTTGAACCGAGCAGCCTCATGATCAACTCGAGGATACCAACGCTGACGAAACCGCCCCCCGAGTGTACTTGGATGGCCGCCGGCCTGCAGTCGGTTTAGGGTTCAGGGTTCAGGGTTCAGGGTTCAGGGTTCAGGGTTCAGGGTTCAGGGTTCAGGGTTCAGGGTTTAGGGTTTAGGGTTTAGGGTTTAGGGTTTAGGGTTTAGGGTTTAGGGTTTAGGGTTTAGGGTTTAGGGTTTAGAGCTGTACTAGGTTTTGGGTTTTGGGTTTGGGTTTTAAGGCTAAAGGGTTCCAAGTTTTAGGCACAATTAGGGCTGAGGCTTTCAGGGTTTGGGTTCTGGCTTTGGGGCTTCGGGCCTGTGCGCCTCCCCTTCCTAACTGCCCCTGAAGACGACCTATCAGGACACCTTACTGGGGGATTTAGGGGTACAGGGCAGGTTGAAGGGGGGCTTGCAAATCTTGGCTTAAGGCCTCCTCAACTTAACCCCTCTGGGGCTTCTC